TACACGAACCAGCTCTCCATGAGGAATGGAGTCATTCTGTTCTAGAACAGGTACTAACAAAAAAGCTGAAGAGAAAAAGCTAAGGGTGTATTTGACACATCGCATTTCAGTTACCCTTTATAGATCTTTCCCACAACCACTGTTCCTAGAGCGCCCCCTGCAGGGTAGACACGAAACACAATTAACTGCGTTTTCTGGTTGTATTCTCACAGCAACTCAAAAAGTGTGTGTCCAGCAGTTAACCGTTCTCTTCGATGACATTTTACAGACGAAGAATGAGAGGCACAGAGAGGTTAAGCCGCATGCCTGGGGACGCACAGTGAGTGCGCGGTGGAGATGGATTGGAGACCAGTCCGAGCCAGGACCTCCTGGCGCAGGCTTCCCTCTTAAGTCCTCTGTGTGACTTCCAGGGTGGAGGGAGGGACGGGGAAGGAGGCTGGACATTGGGGTGAAAAACTGCTCTGTGAGCTCTGGATGAGGTAGCTAATTATATCAGAGTCGGATGCAAGTTTGAGGGGGGTTGTCTGAAACTTATCAAGGTGGCAGACTCTATTTAGGGAAAAAAAAAAAAAGCCCAAATAGGTTTTGTGAATTTTGCAAAACATATTCACCTGAACATTCTGCTAAGGCCTCTCCGTGGGTTAGAAGGGGCTTGTGTCAGGTTGAAGGTCCTGAAGTTTGAGCTTTGTGACTACCGTTCTGCTGCTCAGGGGGTCCCAGCTCTGCTGGTGTGTCCTGTGTGTGTGTGTCTCTGCTGGTGTGTCGTGTGTGTGTGTGTGTGTGTGTGTGTGTGTGTGTGTGTGTGTAAAACCTTAACTCCTCCTTGGCTTTTTCTTTGGCAGGGGGCGCTGCCGCTTCCTCTTGTGACCAGCAGAGGGCGGCGCTCCCACGGGAACTGCTCGGGAGCCTCACCCTCCTTCCCTTGCCTACACCCAGGCCTGCACCCTGCTCCCTGCACTGCTCTGGGGAGAAAGCAGTGGCTGCTATGGAGGGCTCTTCTCCATCCTTTGAATACCGTGGGAGGGGAGGGCCCCGGGCTGGAGTGCGTATGATGGATCCTTTTGCGGTACACAGGGGACCTGGCTGTGTTCCACTGAGAGCCATGAGGGCCCTTTAGAAAATACCCTAGGTGAAAAGTAGCTAAATGTTTACACCCAAAACACCTAAAAATCAAATTCATCTTCAATTTGGATTTAAGAACAAGAGCATTAGACGACTGTACTGGTCTTCCTGGGCTCCGTGTTTAGGAGCTCTTGGGACCCAAGGGCTGTTGGATACCTCTTGGGTTAGCACACTGACATCCCCAGCTAGAGCTGTGTTTCCAGAATGAGTCATCCAACAGAAAGAAGGGGCCAGAAATTGGAAGGGAAGGAAATGATGAGACAGAGAAGACCCAGAGAAGAAGAGCTTTGCCTGTCTTTTGCAGAACTGTAGAACTGAGAAAAGAGGAGCTGTAAAGGTGAATAAACTGTGCTCTTGCCCTAGGGCTACTACGGTTCTTGTGAAAGAGAAAGCCAAGCAAGTCATTCTGGTATTGGGCCTGCCTGGAAGGAGGCCCAGCCTCGTACTGCCTAAGGCCTCCCCACACTTCCTGTGTCTGCAGAGGTAGAAAGATTAGAAAGAAATTGCATCTGTGTTGAACACTACAGATCTTTTGGGTCACCAGGCCACGTTCCTCCACTAACTACTAGCGAAGAACAATCCACACACCTTCCCGCCACATTCTCCCTGCCCTTCTATGGCCCACCCTGTCTCACTTCAGCCCTGGTCTTTCAGAGGAGACTGTTCCAAGATTGCCGCTGACACTGGATGCTGTCTAATGGCCTGTCTTGACCCTGCCGGGTTTCGCCTTCTGCACCACCCTCGGCCGCTCCTTTGTTAGGAGTCCTCCTTCCTCTTGTGGCTCCTTGACCCTGCCCTTACGTTTGGCTCTTCTGGTTTTTCCTGCCCTGTAAATGTGGCTTCTCCCAGGCTTTTCATCTTTGCCTTTCCTTGCTGTACACGTTCTCCCCAGACAATCGCGTCCACACACATTGCTTCAACTTTTCACTGTCTATTCCCCAGACTTCCAGCTCTGCCCCTGTTTTTAGATCCATATTCCCAACAGCTTTCTGGGCACTTCTACAGAGAGAATCAACCGAAATTTAAAATGCTCATCTTCTAGCCAAAGAATGACCACCGTTTTTCTATATGGGAGTTAGTTGTACAGTAGACAGATTAGAAGTGTTTTATAGTTTTACTGTAATGGCAGGATTATCAAGCAATTTATTTTCTTGCTGACTTAAACAAGCGCACATGCGCACGCATGCGCCCATCCCTGTGGTGCTGAGTGCTGGGAGGGTTGGCAAGCATCCAGCACCCTGGAGCCTGCTCTCCACCCCCCACTCGGTGGGTGATCCGTGTGTACATTCTCACTTGCTGGTTAGTAAAGCCAGCAACCTCAGCCTCGGACCCTGATTTCTTCTCTCCTGGTCCTTCTTTCCAGCTCTTTCCACTACCCAAAGTCCAACAATGCTTCGATCTCATAAGGACCTGTCAACTTTCTCCAGCACTGAATCTCTGGATGCCCTTTCCTCCCTCCTTGCCAAATTTCAGTTCTTCTGCAAATCACTGGCTTTTTCTATGGATTTTAATCTTAATTGCTTTCATCTCTTTCATTTCATGGTGATCTCTTGGCAAAAGAGCAACCCAGATTAAATCCAGCCCCCCAGTGATTTTGTATCCACCCTCATGCATCTAAGTTGGAGAAAATATATAAAATTCTAGAGTATTTTCCATCTAAACTCATTACCATGAATTTCAAGCACACTTTGAAAGGAGCCAGGCTACTTCTAAACTTCCTAATCTTTTCATTTTTCTTGTAGTCCTAGATGATTTCTCCTCTGTTTTCCCCTCGAATCTCCAACTCCTTTGCTAGCGTCATTATTACTTATAATCCTGCAGGGGGCTGGGGATTTAGCTCAGCGGCATAAGTGCCTTCCTTGCAAATGTGCGGTCGTGAGTTCGAACCCTGGTACCAATAAAAACAGAAAAAAAAAAAAAAAAAAAAGAATGAACTTATAATCTTGCCTCTTATTCTGTTGAGGAGATGGAAGCCAGCAAAAGATAACTCTCCTGGATTCTCACCACCTAAGAGCTTCCATGCCAGAAATCTGTGTTACTTCAATTATAATCACCTAGGCGCTAATCTTTTTTTTGCACTTTCTTTTTATTTATATTTCCAAATCCATTTTATTTCAAGGAGAAAAAGAAACAAACAAGAAGAAAAAAATTGAAACAAAATTTCAGAACACACCAATCAGGGGGCAACAATGGTACACACACGGGGCATTGTCATCCCCAGGTAGGCTCTAATCTGAGGCCAATCCCTACGCATGTGACAGAAAAGTTAAAAATCAGATTTCTGCATCATCCACACAGGGCATTTCTCTAGTAATTTACCCTTTCTCTCTTACACCATCAAATTTTCCTTTTATATGAAGTCTTTCCCATTAGTATTTACCAATACTCGTAGTATTTATTGCTTCCCTCAGCTATAAAGAAACATTCTGATGACATGATCCTTTACCTAGAAGACCTTCAAAATTCCTCCAGAAGATCCTTAGAACTAATAAAAAATTCAGCAAGGTAGCAAGATACAAAAATCAATACACAAAAATCAACAGTGTTTCTATATACTAATAGTAGAACCCAGAGGAAAAAAGTAGGAAACTAATGTCATTCACAATAGCTTCAAGAAAAATTACTTAGGAAGTAACAAAGTAAGTGAAAAATCTCTATAACAAAAACTACAGTACTTTGAATAAGGAGATTGTGGAGGGCATCAGAAAATGGAAAGAGGGGGCTGGAGGTTTAGCTCTGCGGCATAAGTGCCTGCCTTACAAGCAGGCAGTCGTGAGTTCGATCCCCGGTACCGATAAAAAGGAAAAAGACAAAAAAAAAAAAAAAAAAAGAAAGAAAGAAAGAAAGAAAATGGAAAGATATTCCTTGTTCCTGGACAGGCAGAACAAATACCATCAAAATAGCCATACTTCCAAAACTGATATGTAGATTTAATGCAGTCTCAATCAAAATATCAATAGCTTTCCTTGCAGAACTGGAGAAAATAATCCTAAAATTCATATAGGACCAGAAGAGACCCACAGTAGCAAAGTTGGAGGCCTCCATACCCCAGATTTGAAGTTACTTTACAAAACAATCATGAGAAAAGCCAGCTATGCTGTTTTTTATTTGTGTCTCTCTAGACCTGATGATTATTTTATTTAGCTTCATATGTGTTTAATTATGTTTCCCGAGAATTTGCCAAATGCTTTATTGATCTGTCTTGTTATCTCTCCTGATACTATTTCAAATAAGTTAGGTATGTGGTTTTTGGTCTAATTCCCTTCGAGTCCTCACGGTGAGCTTTGACTGACAGGGGGCTTCTGGAGGCATTTTATTGGCTTATCTTCTTGTGTGTCTAATTTTTGTGTTGAGGTTTGCAGGGAGATTATAATGGCAAGCTTTTTAAAACTGGTTTGGAGACCTCTTCAATTAATGTCTGCTTCTCAGTGGTGTCCTCTGGGTGTGACTAACTGTGGACCTTTGCCACTGTCCTGGGACTCAGCCACCTCACTTACTTAGAATGGGAGGCGGCCGCATATTTGTCCCTACCCACTTCTCCAGGGATGGATCGCAGTATTGATGACAGGGCAATCTGGGTATTGGCTTCCCCAGAAAGCCAATTAATGACGACTGCTATGTGACTCGGCTATACTAATAAAGTCAGCCTCAATGACAAACTGAATATTGATAAATGCCTAATGACAAATAATTATGCCACCTTTCACCACAGAAAAGAGATTTATAATCACAGTGTGAACACTAAGACAAAACAGAATGCTTAACCAGAAATGTCCATAAAGTTAGGTAATTTTCATTCACTGTGTACAGATTGCTAATAGTTTTCATTTGTGTATCATTTAAACTTCATTTGAGTAAATTCACTAAATATTTGTTTTTTAAAGATGAAATGCTTCACAAATTTGAATGTCATCCTTTTGCAGGGGCCACGCTAATTTTCTCTGTATTGTTCCAATTTTAGTATATGTGCTGCCAAAACAAGCACAAATTCACTAAATATTTCTTAAAAAAAAAAAAAAAAAAGGAAGACAAACCAAATATTGACCTATGGTTAAATGAACAACTTTATCTACACTAATACTGGAACAGTATTCAATGGCAATAGTGTAAAGTTCTTTACCTAGTTAGATATTTACAAAGCTCAGTAGTTATCTAATAAAGACAGAGGGGTTAGGGAACCACAGAATGCAAAAGCAAAATTTGAGAAATTAACCAATGAGATATGAGTAGGCGAGGAGAAAAGTGGGATGCGGTCCTATTGTGGAGTAAAAGGAGATAATAGAGAACAGTCACAGAAAAGGAAAAAATATTAAAAAGAAAGAAAAGATAAACAAAATATAGGAAATAGAAGAAAGATCAGAAAGAAAAAAAAGTTGAAAGGGAAAAAAGAAAGAAAAGAAACTAAAAGTTAAAAAAAAAGGGGGAGAAACAATCCCAAGCCCTTAAAAATCCAGTGAAGGAAAGATAAAAATAATTTTTAAAAAACATAAAAGAAAAAGAATGAATCAATGAAAAACTTCCTTTGTCTTGCAATGAGTGGTTTCTTCTCACGACCTGCAGTCTTGGACTCAGTCACCATCTTCCGGCCTGGCTTTAGGGCTGTCGGTGTCTGAGACCCCTCCTGCACCAGCGCCCTCTGTCTGCCCGCCCTGACAGTGCTGACCGTCCACGCCAAGCTGTCCTTGCTTCCACTGGTGATGGGAAGGGCGAGCCACCCTCTGGTCGCTGGCTGCTAGCTGCAGGCTGTGAGGCAGAGGTCCCAATGGCCTGTTGCACAGTCACGGGGTCTAGTAGCTTCCTTTTGTCCCCAGGTGTTGTCCTTGCCCAGGGCCAGTCTCTCGTGCCTCTGCTGTCCCATGCCAAGGGAAAGGGAAATAAAGGCACAGCTGACTTAGAGATGGATGTTCTTGTCCTTCCAGGATGGGAGAGCTGCTTGCTCACATATGGGGGTTGCATGCTTCAAGCACAGACCTCATAACTCTAATTTTAAGTGAGGGTCAGAGATTTAGCTCAGCGGCACAAGTGCCTGTCTGGCAAGTGCAAGGGCGTGAGTTTGATTCCTGGTACCAAATAAAACAAAAAGTAAGTAAATACATACATAAATGTAATATTTAAATTTCATTAATAAATTTAAGATTTAACTAGTTTGCTTTTTGTCTCTTATGATTACTGCCTTGGTATCTTTTTTGGGGGGCATACTGGGGATCAAACTCACAACCTCGTGCTTGTCAGGCAGTTGCTTTGCTGCTGAGCTAAATCCCCAACCCTATTGCCTTGGTATCTTTCAGAGAAATATTCAAACAACTTTGGGAAATTTAGCAAGGAAGGATAGTAATAATGAAAATAGAATTATTAATACTCATTACCATTTATTGAATGTTTATTACGTGTCACTCAGACACTTAGCATCCATTGCTCTTCACAACAAACATAAAATAATTATGACTCTTGATCTCTAGCACAAGAAAGTGAGGCTCATGAAGACAGAGTTACTTGCCTGAGGTCACACGCCCTGCTAGTGTTAGAGATGAGTTTCAATAATTTTGCTGCAGACTCTGGACTTCTATAATGTTTTGTTTGTTAGTTTGTTTTGGACTACCAACAGGTAGTCCAGGCTATCCTTAAACTCACTATGTATCCCAAGCTGGACTTTAGCTCAGCGTGATCTTCCTGCCCCAGCTTCTGCAGTGCTGGGATTGCAGACGTGCAGTGCACCACTGTGCCAAATGGAACTCTGGACTCTCAAAGTGAGTAGACTGGGGTTCACACTCTGTCTGCCAGGGCAGCAGATCTCTGTGTCATCACACGCACGTCCCGTCAGCCCTCGGAACCTCAGGGCTTTTGCCTGTTAAGTCTGCGTGACAACTTCACAGAGCTGTTGAGGAGCTGGAATGAGATCACGTGGGGTATGCTCTGCCCTTGGCAGCCCCCCTGAGGGAGCTGGCTGGTGCCCCTCTCTGCTGCAGCCCTCTTTGTGCTCTCTGCCCCCAGTTTGGAGGAACCTGTGAGCAAAGCCTAACCCAGGCCACCGGTCTCAGTAGGGAGCAGTGCCAGCTGTGACTCCTGGAGGCTTGCGCCCTGGGAGTGGCAGGCAGAGGCTCCTTCCTCTGTGTGTCAGCCGGGGTGCGGCCCCAGGACAATCTCTCTGCAGCTCAGAGCCTCGGGAGGACAGACGTGTGCGGCTGCTCATCTGCCGGTTCCCCTGGTCTTGTCCGACTCCGCAGACACTGCAGCCATGGGAACCCTCGAGGGACACTTGCTGCCAGCCGTCTTCCTCCTGCTGTATGCACTCTACTACTCAGTGCTACTGTCCCTGGCCCTGCTGTGGGGACGGAAGGTGGTCAAGCCGCCTCTGCCCCCGAGGGAGAAGCGAGGAGGACACAGCCCATGGCAGTGGGTACCCCTGGAAGGAATAGTGAAAGTGGTTCTCACTCTCATCGGTATCTTGGGTGAGCTCTTCTACCCCCCAGGGGTAAACCGGACCAGGCTGGTGGACTGGGAGGCTCCTGAGCAGCCATTTTTGTTCAAGGAGAGCTGGCAGCACTTTACCATGTATTCCTTCTTCATGCTCAGTGGGGTGGTGGACATTGTGAGCCAGAGCTGTCTGGCCCGGCAGAACGTGAAGCTGGAGCGGGCGGCAGAGGCCCTGGCCTTCTATGTGGTGGTGCTGCTGATGGCTACCCACATCGAGAACAGGGGCGCTCTGGAGGTCCGAGTGCACGTCCTGCTCCTGGTGCCCACCTTCCTGGTAGCCCTGGTGCTCAACATCGAGGTCTGGGTCCCTGACCAGCCCCCACTCTGGGTGCTCAAGACCTGGATGCTGCTGGTGCTGAGCAGCTGGCTGCTACAGCTGTGTGTGGTGCTGTACACTCCTCCCTCTGGACAGCCCTGGCGGGCAGAAAAACCCGAGGACATGGCCTTCCTCATCACCTTCTTCTCCTGGCACCTGGGCCTGATGGCCATCCTGCTGGCCGCTGTCTATGGGCTCTGCAGCCTCTGGCTTCGACACTGCTCTTCCCGCATGGGATCCCCAGGGGCCAAGTATGGCATGTGCCCCACCGAATCCAGCAGGGAAGAGCTCCAGAGGCTCTGGGCAGAGAACGAGCTGCAGCATGCAGGTGTCTAGGTGCACAGACTTCTTTGTGCTCTGTCTTTTGCTGTGAGTTTCAAGGGTCCTGCTGCTGCTGCAGAGTGGCACTGAAGTGTCCTGGCACCTGGCAGTGACTTTGTGCCTGGCACTCCCAAATAAACCTTCCAGCTCCAAGGGTGCCTTTTGTTTATTGCTCTGTTGTCTCCTCGCCTGCTTCAGTGTTCGCAGGGCCCCTGGCCATGCAGGTCTCTGCAGGGAGAACGAGCAGGAGTGCTCTTGGCTGACATTCTTGGGGTCCAAGGGGCAAAGAGTGAAAGGCAGAGGCAGGGGAGGTGACGGAGGAAGCAGGTGGACGCAGAGGTGCTTGGACCTGCCTCGGGGCGGGGCCCGTGTGCTGCGTGCCTGCAGCAGAAGTGGGTGGCTTGTGTGAACGGGACAGGGGTCTTTGTGTCTAATGAGCTGTTCTCTTCACTTCTTTATTTTTCATTCGAACTAAGTATAGCAGGAAACCTTGTGGGCTTTTTGTGTGTTTTAAGAAACCTAAACTGAATTGAGACAGTAAGAGAAAGAGGAGGTGGGTGGGAGATGGGGTTGAGCAATCAAATTAATCAGGGCTCGAGTCCACCAAGAAAAGAGGCCAAGGAAGAAGCCCCAATTGTGGCTGCAAGAAATGGGGGTGACTGAGACACATTTTGCCGTAGTTTAAGTTTTGCTGTGTTAACAACCGACTTCGTTGTTCGACTCCTTTGGTGAGATCTGCCTCATGGATCACATCCTGTGTGAGTGAGCCTGACATAAACCACAGCAAAGGCTCCTGTCCTGGGGACGGCAGAAGAGGAACCTCCATGAAACTGGGAGTAGGTGAGGGGTGTGTGCCCATGAGCCCTGTGTTTTATTTTGTTTTGTTCTCTCTTACTGGGGGTTGAAGCAGGAGTCCCACACATACTACGTGACTTCTCTACCATGGAGCTGCATCCCCAGCCCTTAACATAGTGTTAAGCCAAATGTGTTGCCTTGCTTGGTCACTGATAGATTGAGCCCAGTGCCTCGGGCATGCTGGGAAGATGCTCTACCACTGAGCTACCCCAGGCCTGCCATGGTTCTGTAGATTGGAGAACTCATAGCTGAGAGAGAACCTGAGGGTGTCAGTCCCTGGAATCTGCTAAAAGTTTCAACCAGTCACTGGAATGTTCCCAAACTAAGATATAGGAAACTATACAGTGAGTGAAATATAGAAAGAAAACTCTCAGAATTGCTTCTCCTAGTGCAATTCAAAATCCATTTCTTCTAGGAGCACAAGGCAGCTGAGGTGAGATGGACGCTTCAGCACTTGGAAGTCTAAAGAGGCAGGAGGAAGGGGGCCATGAGGCAGAGAGCCACAGAGAGCAGAATCCACTCACCCCACTGCCCCTGCAACCAGAAACGCTCTCCTTGGAGAACGGAAAGTTTCAGGAGGCACAGAGAGGGTGACGGGATGACAGATAAGACAGCTATCCACTGTTGCTCGAAAATGCCAGTGGCACTTGTAAATAAGCACACATAACATGGACAGTCAGCTCTGTCCATGGGCAATGGGTCTCTTAGAGAAGGGGAGTGAGGGTGAGAAAGACGGCCTGGGGTCTGGCCCCTCACTCTGGTCAGCTTAGGGTGGGGGACTCTGGATCCTCAAGGCAGCCAAGTGTGTCTCCTCAGGCAACTGGAACCGGGCCAGCCCTGCCTCCCTCTCCAGAGGAACAGGAAGGGACTCTTGCAGAGGCCAGCACCCTTCCTCTATCCACACCCCCACAAAGTCCAGAAGCAGGGCCAGGATCCACGCCACCCCCCTCCCAGATATTAAGAAAGCTCACCTTCCTGGGACCTCACTGTGTGTCCTGTTCAAGGCCCTGGAAGATGTTTCATGATCACACACCACTTTGTGTTTGTATCTTGCTGAAAATTTGCTAAAGTGAGCTCTTTTTATATTCCTTGTCCTGAAAGGGGTCCCCTGCATCCTCACACAACACCTGGCTCTATCCTGGCTCTGGGGCTTAATGCAGGCTCCTTTCAGGGCGCCTTCTGATAGACACGGGGCTTCGCCTGCTTGTGGAACACTCTTGGTTGGAGAACGATGTTAAGACTCCTTCTCCAACCTCGGAAGAAGATGCCTAAAACATTAATGACGTTGTGGGTGGGAATGTGAACTCTGACAACCACTGTGGACATCACGATGAAGAGTCCCCAAAAAGCTACAGCTAGGAATTCCCTTTGATCCAGCTATTCCCCTCCTTGGCAGCTCCCAGAAAGAATTAAGACATCATATCCCAGTGATCCACGCACACTCAGGTGTATAGTGGCACAACTCAGAATAGCGAAATGTTGGAAGTATCTCAGATGCCCATCAACATATAAATGGACAAAGAAAATGTGGTATTTATGCACAGGGGAATACTACTCAGTCATAAAGAAGGTTAAACTCCAGCCATTTGTGAGGAAATGGCTGCACTTGGGACCGTGATATTAAGTGATAGACACATAAGCTTAAGTGTTACATCGTTTCTCTTCCATGAGAAGCTCAAATTATAAGGAAAGAAATAAAGAAAAGACAACAGGAAGTTGGGAGATAGATCTTTCTTACATGATAAGGAAATCAAGAGATAGAGGAAAGAAGGGAATGGGCATGAAAACAGAAATTAAGTTTTACTAATGCTACACCAGGCAGGTGAATGTTATGTACTGCCAACATGGACTAATAAAAAATGCCACCCCAACGCACAGGGCTTGAAGTCACCCGCACGATCCCTCTGTCTTCAAGTGTACATGAAGTGGTATAGCCCTTGTGTAGGTGCTTCCCCCACCCCCACCCCCAGGCCCTGGGTTCCATTCCCAGCCCTACAAGAACAAACTAGTATAAATGAGCATTAACAGATCCTAGGCTGGTTTTGAGAGAGGACTTAGAAGCACAGAACCCCGCTGACTCGGGGGTCGAGGTGGCAGTGGTCTGCACGGATTTCCTTCTCTTCTGCTGGGCGCAGGGATTGCCTTCGAAACACCGGGCTCTTGCTTGGAGTGTTAGTTAGGGTTCGCCAGAGCAAACAGGATGTGTGCCGGGCCAGATTTGTGGATGGATGTGTTACCACTTGTTTCTAAAAGTGGCTCGCCAACTAAACATTACCAAGTTCGGGTTGCTTACCTCTCCACCTGCAGTTAGATTCCAGGTTCTTTTGTCTTGGACAAAGAATTGAATGATATGAACAAAAATCAGTGGCCAAGTTTGTTCAAGAAAGTAAAAGTGAAGACTGAAGGAGAAACTGGCTCTGCAGAGCAAGCTTGGGCTGAGTAAAGTGAAGAAGAGGGCAAAAATAAAGATAGAAGTGTGGGCTGCGTCTGGAAAACACGGCATGGACTATTCTGGAAAGTTATGATGGCCAGGTCTTCCTGGGGAAGATGTGTCCTTTATTAATGCTGTCTAAATCTCAAAGAAACTCACAACTTCTACATCCAGGTCCCAAGAGGTGTGCTTGAATGCCAGGCTGCAGCCTGACCTCAGGTCCTAGGAAAACCTGGTCCAATTTCCCCGAGAAGTCCATGTGCAGGGCTCTGGGAACTGTTCTGCACTGGTGTCCAGGATTTTGTAATCAACAGTCTTCACGCCTACTTCCCCAGCCAGTTTCTGCCATGTCCCTGCTCTCCTATTTCAGATGGATGGATGGACACAGATTTTCAAGAACTGGCGCATGAGATTAGAAAGGTGGTGAATAGATTTGAGTCCCAAAATATTCTGGAAGCAGAAATCTTTCCTTAGGGAACTCTGATTTTTTAGGACCCAGTCTTTTCAACTGCCTGCATGAAGCTCTTGCGCATTACTCAGAGTCACTGATTAAAATGTTAACAGCATCTAAATAAATATTCCCACAGCAACATCTAGACTGATGTGTGGCCAAACAACTGAGAGCCAAGCCTAGAGAAACTGACAAAACTTTTTTTTTTTTTTTAAGCTTTGAGCTTTTTAAAAATTTTATTTAAGGAGAAAAGAAAAAAAAAGCAGAGAAAGGGTACAAGTTATACAGATTTGCAGAAAAAAAATGAACAGTAGGAAATCACTAGTTAATGGATTACATATTGTCATCTTAGAAATAATTGTTCAAGTCACAAAATTAAAGCTTATAAAGTGGACATTCCAACAGTGAAACTGCAAACAGTTCTGTTCAATGATCCAATAAAACTCAGTGATATCATTATCTATCTTATACACTTAAATATACATGCAGTTATATAGTTTAGAGCACTTTCTTTTCCTCTCTTTTGTACAATGACTATTACACATTTTGGGTTTCATTGCTCTCACGGTTCTTATTACTTTTTTGGAAGAGAGTAAAACCAAATGTGACATAACAGAACAGAATCGGTCAAGGCAAAAGGGCGGACATAGTAGATAATGTGAAAACATAATACACGGTGATCCACAATGGTTACCATAATGCCTCCCGCTATCTCTAATAGAATTGCCTATACCATTAGTTATAATACAATTGAACAAAACAGTAAAGAACAAAACCGACAAAACCAAACCATTGGAGACATTGTAGGTCTTCAAAAGTAGATAAAAGTCAACGAGAATGGGCGTTTTAATGAATCTCATTATCTTCACAGCTGATGCCTAAATTTTCGAACCTGATACTATCCAGCAAAACAGAATAGGGGAACATCAGTTAAAAACCAGATGGTGAGAGTAATACAGGGCTTTAAATCGAGGTAATGGAAAGTCAAAGTGGGTTACTATAATATATCCTGCTATTTTTTTTCCTTTAATTAAAAGGATAAAAATTTTTAAAAAAGTATTAAGAAAGTAAATAATGGAGTGGAGATTGAGATAAAAGAGGGCATAACAACGAAACAGCACAGATCAAAACATAACCATTTAAGCAGAATAGTGTTTCACCACCAGATAATCCTGACCTAAAAGTAGTTACCATATTGTCTCTTTCCTTGAAATCCTTGAGTACAACTTCGTATACTGTAGCATTAAGTATATCAAAACCATGTAAAACCATTTAAGAGAATGACAGCATTACAGAGTATTTAGAATCGACTAACAGAAAATGAATAATGGTTTCTGTATAATCTCCTTGTCTTTAAAAGGTTTTTGCTTATACTATCGTACATAATAAAATCCAGTAAGATACAACCTATTTAGACCATTGGAGACAGAAGGACAAAAG